AACCCTAAGATTTCACCATACCTATCAGAATGGCAACCTGTCCAGCAAGTGATAACACATTCTGGAGAGGTTGTGGAGAAAAGGGAACCCTCCTCCACTGCTGGTGGGAATGTAAACTTGTACAACCACTTTGGAAATCAATGTGGTGCTTCTTCAGACAACTAGGAATAGCACTTTCTCAAGATCCAGCTATACCACTCCTAGGCATATACCCAAAAGAGGCTCAAGTACACAATAAGGACATTTGCTCAACCATATTTGTAGCAGCTTATTTGTAATAGCCAGAAGCTGGAAACAGCCCAGATTCCCTGTAGTTTGAAAATTTTTACATGAATATTACATTTGGGGCTTTTACTCAAACACCAGGCAAAGCTGCACACAGCCTTAACACTGTCTGTGCCGTTAGCCTACTTCATTCATTTTCAGTTTCAGCTTTTGAAGAGACATTTTCAGTTTCAGCTTAGTTTTTGAAGAGACATTTACCTAGGCCTACTTTTACTTGGTGACAACCAGTACAGTGTGAAGATGTAAAATAGATCTCAGCTGTGTTTCACCATCTATTGAACTCTCTTAACTTCCCAGGTGGATAAAGGAGAGTTTTTGATGAGACCTTTTTCACTAAAGATTGCTAGAGCTGTAGCCTTTCTCCTCTGCTTGGTCCAAAATCTCCTTTCTCTACTTCTCATGAACTACACTCTTAGCTGCCTGAACCCTAGCCCTTTTTATTCTCTTATTTTAATTTTGAGACAATGCTCAACTATCTAGTGCAAAGTGAGTTAGAACTCATGATTTTTATGCTTCATTTGTCCTCACTTAATTCTTTTTGGTATATTTTGATTTGTTCTTTGATATATTTATACATGGCTACAATATATTTTGGTCATATCTACATTTACTCTAGTCTTCTAATCCCCTTCTTTATTTTCCTCTCAAATTTATGGATGTTTGTTTTGCTTTTAAGAACCATTTGGTCTACTTAGTGCTGCTATGTATACATCATTAGAATATGGTCAGCCTACTAGGGGACACACACACCAAATAAGCTTCTGTTCCCTCACCAGAAGCTATGGACTGCCAGGAGCTACTCAGCTGTTGTTAATTATTTGGGCCATGAAGCACCCTTTCTCTTTCATTCCCATTTCTGTTTTATTCTCTTTTATCATTTCACTTTCTACCTTTAATTTTCCTTTCTTTTTCTCTCTTTCATTCTTTCAACATAGGCTCATATGTATCTAACTAGGTAGGGCTAGCACTTCCCAAATGACCAAAAAGAATTTTGAAATTTTACCTGCATGCCTCCACTTTCCAAGTGTTGGAATTACAAATATGTAAGACTGGGTGACACTTTTTTAAATTAAATTTTTATTTTTTATATTAATTACAGTTTATTCACTTTGTAGCCTAGCTACATCCTCCTCCCTCATTCCATCCTAAGCCCATCCTCCCTCCCTCATCTTGTCCCATGCTCCTCTCCAAGTCCACTGATAGGGGAGGTCCTGCTCTCCTTCTGTCAGACCCTAGCTTATTAGGCCTCATCAGGACTGGCTGCATTTTCCTCCTCTGTGACCTGGCAAGACTGCTTCCCCCTCAGGAGCCAGCCACTGTCAGAGACAGTTCCTCTTCCCTTACTAGGACACCCACTGGGATACTGAGCTGCCATGGGCTACATCTGAGCAGGGGTTATAGGTTATCTCCATGAAGGGTCCTTGGTTGGAGTATCAGTCACTTTTAGGCAGTGATGAGGAATAGAACCCAGAGCTTTCCGCAAGATTTACTTCATTTTGTCAGCATATTTTAGAGTTTCAGTATTTGCTTATTAATAAGTTTCTGAGTTAACTTTGCATAGAGAAGGAAAAAAGCAGTCAGAGCCATTAAAAGTCTTCTATCTCCAGGAAAATATGATTTTTGCTTTGGAGGACAGCGTTGATTCCTGTTGCCTGTTGGGAATCTACTGAGACCCAGCTGTGCTTCCACCATTGGTTCTACAGTCCATCACTAGGGGATACGTGTCTGAGAGATGTGGTTTCTCTGCTTTGGTATACTGATCTCAAACTGTGGGTAATTTCTAGACTCCTTCATGGTTTGTAGACTTTTTTGTAAAAAAGTATTTAGAATGGTTTTTATAGAAGATGGGATTGCAAATGTGTCACTCTGAATACTGACATACACAGATACTTGCATTCTTACATAAATCTCACTCCACATAGTATTTGTAATCTGGATGGAAGAACAAAACAGTGACAGTAGCATCAATGAATATTTGCTATGGGGCCCTGGCAGAAAGACAGCACAGAAATACAGTCTCACAACATTTCCCCCACCCTGAATCTCACCCATTATTTTCAGTTTGCTGTCACATATATTGTTCTCAGAGACACTGGTTGAACAGTGCATAAAAATTTGAACAGTCTTTAGGGAACACTAAGAAGAATGTATCATTACCATCTGTCATCTGTGTTTTACGGTGGTAAAGATATATTAAAGGCCACCATGATTCTTGCCATTCTGCATCAGAGATAGTTTTGATAGATTTAGCTTTTCCTCTTTCTTAGTCTGAGGGAGCTTGAACAGTGCATAACACAATTAGACAATTACGATTAGCTTAGAATACAATTAGTTGCATTTCAAGTCAACTGTTTGAGATGTTATCTTTTAGACTTCAAGGTAATTCGTGACTCATTCAAAATTGTTTGCAATATCTAATTTTATCAATAAGGAAATGAATGAATGGTCAATGCAACTGAGCAGTCTGAATTTAGATCGCTGTGCTACCACTGAGCTAATGCTCTCTATTTAAAGAACTTGCTACCCACTGTGGTTTAGCATGATAGTTAGCTGCTTAATATATAGTGATGATGGAATGGCATTTAAAGACAAGAGTCATTTCAGCGTAAGGTGTTACGCTCAGGTTTAGAACTGGGTTATAGAATATCAAGTTTGAGTTTTCATTTGAAAGCATAGCTTGGCCATAGAAACTTTCCTGAAACTTTTCTCATCTAAAGATTGGATGTCCCTTTTGACAGTAACCACTTTTGTTGGCAAGTTCTTGTCCTTCAATTTAATAAACTTGACTTTTAAGTATTGTTTTTACAAATAGATGCAGCAATTCTCCATACCCTATGCCAAATCCCCCTTATTGTTAATATTTCACAGTGCTGTCATTTGTTTGTTAAAACTAATGGGTTACAGTAAGTGTGTGTGTGTGTGTGTGTTTTAACTCATGAATGTTACAAGTGACATTTAAAAATATATAACTAATTGGGAGTATTTTCCCTTCTGCTAGAGGAGACTTATTGATAAATAAGTGATTAAAGTGTGTGAAATATCAGTTAAAAAACCCAGGCCCAGATGCATCCTTTTGAAGACCTTCCCTCACAAAAGTCTACTTTATTTTTTTCCGTGTAACTGACAAACAGCCTCAATTCATAGCTCCTCAGTAAAGCAAATGTACAATTTAGAAACCATGTTTTCTGTAACTAGGTGAAGAAAATATGAGCTAATAATAAATACTTAGGGGATAAAGAGATAGCTCAGTCTATAATGTAGCTACTGTGGAAGCCTGAGGACCTGGGTTTGACCAGAACCTACATAAAAGAGCTGAGAATGGTGGTTCATATTTGTAATCCTACTGGTATAGCAACAGAGATGAGATTGTAGTTCCTTTTTCACCTACTCTTGCTTACTTGACAAGTAGCAGACCAGTAAAACCCTGTCTCAGAAAGCCCTTTCTTAAATGTGGGTAGTGCCTGAGGAACAACACCTGAGATTAATCTTGCCTTTCTATGTGCATAAACCCCCACACAAACACAGACACACACATACCAAATGTAGTATGCAATATGTGTTTACTCAAACCATACACTATGGCAAACAGACCACTTTGCCTTGTACCCACTGATGAAAGCATTTAGCATAAGATTTTTCAGTGTCCATAGCAGCCTATAAAATGACCTGTGGAATGACAATTTAAGAATAGCTGGATTAGCAGGCCAAGATTATTTAGGAGGCTAAAAGCTTAGAATCAACTGAGAAGCAGAAAAGATGTGAATACAGACAGCATAAAGTGCAAATGTTATTTCAAGTGATCATTGGGTATGATGCTAACATGGGGACTGGCATATATTTGGGGAGTTGAGTGTCACTGAGGGAAATTAGGATTAGGTGGTTGGTTTCACTTTGCAAGTTCATCTCTCCAGAATTAGTATCAGACTTTGGAGCCAGAGGTTGTTGGTTTACAGTGCATCAACACTTTCATGGTCATCAACGTCTTGGAAACACTAATGTGCTATGACAAGCCTGGGATGCCTTGAGAGTGGTGTCTGCTGACTGACTGACTACACATGCTATGAATTTTCTATACATATCCTGAAACAGTGTATGTCTTTAATAAATATTCACACAAGAGTTCCACATATGTTATATCACTGATTTTGGTACCGGGTATTGAACTACATAATTCTTTATAAACACAGCCATGTTTTCAATTTGCTGCTGAACTGAACAGAGCGATTTGACACCAGCATTCTGTATACTTTTTTCAGAATGTATACCAAAGGATTCATACTATTTTTTAAATAAAGAAATAAATATAGTAGGAAAACAGGACCTAAAAAAAAAATACAAAACAGCTAAGAGCATGTATCCTCTGTCTTTATTTAAACAAAAAAAAAATACTGCATAGAAATGCTATAAAAAGAGGTTAACATGTTATCAAAATTCCCCCAGGGAAGCAGTCATTTCAGAAAATTTGTTTTATGCCTATTCTCCTGAAAAATAGTTTCTAACTGTACTTGTGAATTTTCTGAAGCATCAACTAACTTTTTATTTTAATGTGTGAAATAAATTGTGGTCATTTTTGCCATATGTCAGGATTAATTCACAATGCTGGCTAGCTGCTGCTATATTTATTAGCAGAATGCCATATTAGTGATGTGTTTCTAAGAAGGGAAAGATGACGCCATGGTTTCCTAACACTTTCTCCTATGCTGTTTTCAATACAGAGAGTACCACAGTGACACCAGTAATATCAACAACAAGTGTCCAAATGCAGAAGATCAGTTCAGGAGCAACTGAGATCACCTCTAAAGTAGAAAAAAGCCCCACAGCAGCAGCAGCCGCTGGCAACAATTCACATCCTTCCACAGAGACTGAGGAAGAAAAGGCAAAGAGGTTGCTTTATTGTTCGCTATGCAAGGTGGCTGTGAACTCTGCCTCACAGCTGGAGGCTCATAACAGTGGTAAGATGCAGGCCTTTTCTTTTTATCTCAACTGCTCTGCAATTATCTTCCTCTGAACAGATTAGATTTTTTACAGCAGGGAAACCTGTGGTGACAGAAAACTGACAGTTATTATATGGAATTTATCAGCCAGTAAAACATAAAAATGACTTGCAAAATATTATTATGTGGGAACAAAGGAAGATTTCTAAGGCTTGAGGTCAGGTTGTGAGTGTGTGTGTTTAGTATTTATGTGCTTCCTACCAGTGTTGCCTTACAAATGAAGCTTCTAACCCAACCATAGTGTTGCTAAATCCTAGGCATAGTTCTTATTGTGATTTTTTTTTTAATGGTAAAATATGTCTGAGCAAAATCTGTATGATGTATTCAAATGTACTTCATGAAGTTTTTTATTATGTACACCAGCAAAGCATTAATTATTTGACTGAGGCACAGTACAGACTGTGGGACCAATTGTCAGAAACATGGTTCAAGCCTGTTTCTCGTGTAAAGTACTTTTAAGAGAGTTATTTCTGTCTTTAATTATGTATATGAATGTTTTCGTGAGTATGTACACATGAATGTGGATAAAATATGTTAAAGCCTCTTGACCTGGAATTATTGGGGTTTGGGAACTGGGAAGTAAACTCAGCTCAGTTACATGCTTGTCTTAGCTAGAGTTAGAATTGCTGTATGAAACACCATAACAAATACTAACTTGGGAACAAAAGTGTTTATTTGGCTTATACTTCCACATCACTGCTCATCATTGAAGGAAGTCAGGAGAGGAATTCAAATAGTGCAGGAACCTTGGAGGCAGGAACTGAAGCAGAGACCATGGAGGGATGCTGTTTACTATCTTGCTCCTCATGGATTGCTCAGTGTGCTTTTTTATAGAAAAGAGGATGACCAGACCAAGGATGGTATCAGCCACAATGGGATGTTCCTCTCCCATCAATCACTAGTTAAGAAAATGATCTGCTGCCTGATCTTCTGAAGGCAAGGTTCCCTCCTGTCAGATGCTAATAACTTGGGTCAGGTTGAGATAAAACCAGCCAGCACGATGATATTTATTGCTGAGTCATTTCTCTAGACATTTTATTAACTCTATTTTAAGATAAGCTCCATTGTGTAGTGCTAGCTGGCATACAACTTACTTTGTTGACCAAGTTAACCTCAAACTCACAAAGATCCATCTGCCTCTCCTCTTCCCCTTGAGTGTTGATATTAAATGAGTGAATTACTACGCTCAGCTTAAATACCTTTTAAAACAGAAAGAAGCAAACCCCAATATGCAGGATCAGGAAACAATTGGCCTTTCAGTTATGATTCCATTGAGTTGCTTCCTGTGTTTGTATGTGTGAATACATACATACATATATATATATATATATATATATATATATATATATATATATATGTTGCATACACATACATACACATGTGTGTACAAAACGTACATGAAGGTACACATGTATGAAATATATACACTTATGTCTCTTTTTATCTGTGTATGCATACTTAAAAACAATCTTTTCTCTAAAACCTTAGTTGATTGACAAAAATCAACCTTATGCTACATTTCCGACATTGGAGCCAGGTTTGTGAACGGATATAATGAATGGAGAATCACCGTGTTTCATGCCTTAATTTCACGTTGCTGATGTAAGTTGCACCACTGGCCAGTGATAGTGCTACACAGGTGATATTTGAGTGTTGACTTCATGTTCTGAGAAGGGAAGGCAAACGGAGCATACTTCCTTTAGTTGCAGTCAGCAGCATTCATGAGTTTGTAAACAGAGACTCACAGACACTCTTCCTGTTCCAAGTCAGCATATACATCATGCTAGTCTACCTTGATGCTCAGACATCAAGAATAATAAACACCATCAAAACTCATTTATTCCCACAAAATTTGATCATTCAATGTAATGATAGAGGATTACATTCATTTTAAATTTGGTAAGATTTATAATTCAACCTTGCCTTTGTGGTTTGAAGTTATAAATTTATAAGGTTTTGGGGCATCTACAATTCTCTTAAGAAATATTTGATTTAAGGGCAAAAGAACCATATTTCATTATATCACATGAGGATATTATTTGTTATTATTATTTTTTTAATTTTTATTTTTTACAATTTATTTATTTTGTATACCAGCTGTAGTCCCCTTCATCATCCTCTTCTCATACCATGCTCCTTCCCCAGTCCACTGATAGGGAGTTCCTCCTCTACTTCCCCCTGACCCTATCAAGTCAGGAGGACCCTATGCCCCTGAGCCTATCAGGTCTCATCAGGACTGGCTGTGTTGTCTTTCTCTGTGGCCTTGTAAGGCTGCCCCCAACTCACGGGAGGTGATCAAAGAGACAGCCACTGAGTTCATGTCAGAGACAGCCTCTGTTTCCCTTACTAGGGAAACCCATTTGGACACTAAGCGTCCATGGGCTACATCTGTGTAGGGATTCTAGATTACCTCCATGCATGGTTCATGTTTGGAGTATCAGTCTCAGAAAAGACCCCTGTGCCCAGAATTTTGGTTCTGTTGCTCTCCTTGTGGACTTCCTGTCCCCTCCAGGTCTTTCTATCACCCCTTCTTTCATAAGATTCCTTGCACTCTGCCCAAAGTTTGGCTATGAGTCTCAGCATCTGCTTTAATACCCTGCTGGGTAGAATTTTTCAGAGGCTCTCTGTGGTAGGCTCCTATCTTGCTACTTGTTTTCAACCTCTTTCCATGTCCATCCTATTTGCCTTTCTGAATGAGGATTGAGCATCTTCCTTAGGGTCCTTCTTCTTGCTTAGCTTCTTTAGGTGTACAGATTTTAGCATGTTTATCCTATATTGTATGGATAAAACCCACTTATAAGTAAGTATATACATGTGTGTCTTTGTGCTTCTGGTATACCTCACTCAGGATGATCTTTTCTAGTTCCCACAGTTTGCCTGCAAATTTCATGATTTCCTTGTTTTTAATTGCTGAGTAGTATTCCATTGTGTAAATGTACCACAGTTTCTGTATCTACTCATCAGTTGAGGGACATCTGGGTTGTTTCCAAATTCTGGCTAATACAAATAAAGCAGCTAAGAACATCGTTGAGCAAATTACCTTGTTGTGTACTTGAGCCTCTTTTGGGTATATGCCTAGGAGTGGTATAGCTGGATCTTGAGGTAGCACTATTCCTAATTGTCTGAAAAAGCACCAGATTGATTTCTAAAGTGGTTGTAGAAGTTTACATTCCCACCAGAGGATATTATTTTTATATTCCAGTTATGTGTACTTATTTCCAATTTGCATCTCAAAATGCCTCCATGAAAGTATAAATATGTACCTATCCATGCAAATCACACAAGAACTCCAAGGCTTTCTTTCACCTTCAACCTGGACAGGCATTACTTTGGAAGAAGACAGAGAAAGAACCCTCAGTGTTCCTTTGCTGAGACAGCTGAGGATGGTTTCAAGCATCTCATCTGAAAGATTGAAGAAGTGAATATGTGGCTCTTGTTCCTCATGTTCCTTTACTGGATAGTTCCTTTTAGACTAGCAGCCTGTGCTGACCACTACAGCTAATTCTCTGCTTGACAAACTTTGAGTTTTCTTTCTCCTTTAATTTTCCTTCACGAATAAGAAAATGTTTCCATTTGGAAAGTGCCATCAAAGTCCCTTATGTGTTGCCTTACACTTGAACTTGAAGGCTGTGTCAAGACTAGAAGCGGCAAAGGAAGAAGACAAAAATGACCAGTAATTTCTGATTCTTTCTGAAACACACTGCATTTGATCTCAGACTGGCTCAGTTTTTGTTAACTGCAAGAGTATTAAGAAGCCACAGTGTCTGGGATTTATCCACTGTGCATTTAAGAGGATGCAGTAATGTCTACATCCACAGTCCTGCTGCTTGTCCACTCATGACTTACTTCTGGAGCTTTTGCTTGCAATCTTTTGTAGAGAAATATAAGAGGTGGGTGTAATGAAGAAAGGTTCCAAATATGGCATACTCCTGCCAGGAATGCTTGCAGAGTTGAAATATTCAACCTAAGATCGTTGTGGTGTATTTTAGCTTGATTTATTAGAGTAGTTGATTCAGGGACCTGACAGCAAATAAATGTTAAGAGAGTAGAGGAACCAAAGCTTGGGGACTGGGAACAAGAAATGAAGAAAGAAAAACAGACAATACAAATTGCTTTATTTAGCCAATTTTCAATTTGTATTGCTGCAGTGACCTGGCAAAAATGTTAATTAGGAGCATTGGGCTAGAAAAATGGCTCAGTGCTGGAGAGTGTTTGCTGTTCTTCCATAGGAGAAAAATTTAGTTCCTAGTACAAGTTGGTGAACTTCCAGTTGCAGGGAATCCAATGAGTCACTCACATGCAAGTACACACACACACACACACACACACACACACACACACACACGTAGAATAAAATGAACATATTTTTGCTTTTCAGCTATCTTTGACAAAATGAAATATAATAAGATAAAACAATAATTATTGTATCAAAAGCAGGCACTAGAATCAAAGACCCACTTGTTCATAAACTCAAGAATCCCATTAAAAATACTCAACTGAAAGGTATAGTATCTATGCAGAGGAGCTGATATAGAACCATGCAGGACCTTTGGATGTTTCTATGGTCTCTCTGAATTTTTATGAGCTTTGTTCAGTAGATTCAGAAGGCCTTGTTCTCCCCATGTCCTCCATCTCCTTTGGCTCTTACGATCTTTCTGCCTCCTCTTCAGTAGGATTCTCTGAGCTGTGAGGGGAGGGATTTGATGGAGATATCCCATTTAAAGCTGTGTGTTTCAAGGATTCTCTCTCTGCATATTGTCTGCCTATACAGTCTTGGCATTTATTTCTGTCTGCTACAGAAAGAAGTTTCTCTAATGACTAAATAAGTTACTGATTTATGAACATAGCAGTATATATTTGGAGATCATTTATCATTTTTTTGATACTGTTTTTTTTTTCTTTTTCTTTTATTTTCCAATAATGTTTGGTTTTACCCTAGGTCTCTGAGCTATCTAGTG